GTAGGTACCCTAACCAGTCTCCTCTCTCAATACAAGTAAATCAGTCAAGCCTGACTGCTTGAAAAGTACATCCTTACTATATATCTAGGCTTTTATCTGAGCAGTTGTCAATCTAGGAGGAGAGATTGCAAAGAAAAAGGAGGGTCACCAGAGGGAGCTACAAATCATCAATAGAAATATGGTGCCACAAGCACAAACATTTGAGAGCCACATAATAAATCGCTCTAAAGTTGTTGTAAACCCATACATACTGTATACCCACTGAGAGGACTAGCTTCTTCTCTGAAGCCTTCTCTTATCTACACCCATTCAAAGATTTCAGTTTGCTAGAGCATTTCTGAACTTCCAGAGGCAGGGAGCGAGGATCTGGTATTGCACACTACACAGCACAGAACAGCCAGCTGAGTGTAATCTGAGAGCTGAGTTTTGGGAACGGACACACCCACCTCCACACCTCTAGGCAAACATGTACAGCTGAGGTTGTCTACTGTGTGCTGGAGCCCCTTCCCCCGAGAGTTTCTGGTGTCGGCATAACATGTCAGAAGGGACCGCAGATATCAGCGGAAGGAGAAAAGAGACAGAAATTACACTTGGTGCTTTGGATAGAGGCAAGTAAACACTATAGACGGATATGCCTTGTTCATTTTTTAATTCAATAATATTATAAAAATGTGTGCTCAATGAAAATACACAACTGCATTTGTCTGAAGAATAGCATGTGTGACAGCAATTATCATGTTCCAGAAATGAGTGTGGGCTTCGAAAACATTGTAATCCTTCTAAAGGAGATATTTTATTCAGTAATAGCAATCTCAATACCAAATGAGAGTGGAGATAATGCTCTTACAAAAAATGAATAATGATTAAAATGTCATAATTATGCTGATAGTTTATATGTCCAATGTAATCAGCTTTGCATTTAATTTATCGCGAGGCGTGCCGACAAACCGACTCACTAACAGTTAGACTTGTTTTCCGTATTTGTCTGTCACACAGTGGTGTGCTATTTTTCTCAATTTGCCACAGACGGCAATTCTTCAAGTTCCATTCTGTAGGCTAAACTGTGAGTGGAATTATGGGTGAGGCCTTTTTTTTACTATTAATAGCAGCAACTCTTGCGATCACTTAGAGTGACTAATAGGGGTTTGCTTTCAAAGTGAAGCGACCATACAGAGATGCTTTTAAAATGAAAACAGATTTATGTACAATTTTAATCTCTTTTAATTTCATAGCAGAAATGTCAGATTTTTTTTTTCTTTACACGCCAGATGTCATATTTCTTCTCCAGTCTGAAGGATGATATCATTGTAAAAATAGTCAGCATAATTACTATTCGTTAAAATGAATTAAATTAGTTTGATCGGATAAAAACACTGATCATGTTTGATGTATAAAAAAAGAGAGCTTTATACTGTAGCATAAAAAATGTTCAGAAAGGCAACAAACTAAGGCTTTATGCACACTGGTAAAAAAAGAACAGACAAGGGCGCACTCACATTGTGCACTACCGTGGTATACCACGTGTTTTAATAAATGAACAGATGGATGTATACTCACAAACCAACGATATTAAAATCAGTGTATATGGTCCACAAAAACAGTCACAGAGGTCTGAGGAAGGGGGTTTAGCTCCCGAAACGCGTCAGCTTATCCGCACACAAGATACAGGACCTTTGTGACTGTTTTTTGGACCATATACACTGCTTTTAATATCGTTGGTTTGTGAGTATACATCCATCTGTTCATTTATTAAAACACGTGGTTATACCATGGTAATGCACGATGTGAGTGCGCCCTTGTCTGTTCTTTTTTTACCAGTGGTCAGATTTCCCGATCTTTGAAGGGCAGCACCTCTTCGTTTGGCATCCAGTTATCTTTCAAGTTTGCATGAAGATTGGAGCGCTGGTTTCGTTTGTTTGTTTTTTATGCACACGGGGATTAAAAATGTCACCTTTATAGGTGTTTGACTTTTTTCTGCTTGTAAATGCACATCTATGTTAGAATATGTGCCCATAGGCATTTTCAGGTGTATTAAAAGAGCAGCATTTACAGGTGTATTAAAAGAGCAGCATTTACAGGCAGAAACAAACCATCACCAGCACATATAAAAGAGGAGCTTTTGAGCACAAAAAAATACTTGACGTGCCACAACGAGTATAAATGCGTCTAATTGTGCCTAAACACTGCACGTTTAGCACTTGAGCATTCATTCCCTCCACTAGCCAGAATAAATTAATATGCAAACCCAACCTGCTGTGGTTTGCTGATCTTCCAAAGTAATGCGTCCATTTGCACACCCAAATTCCCGGCTGCTGTAAGGTAAACACAGCACCAGGGTTCCCAGGTGGTGTTATTGGCCACGTGACATTATTGGTCTACCATTTAGGGATGGAAGTTTGATGTACTTTATACACATTGGCACGCATTAGATTGTCTTCACTGATGATGGATCACAGGATGCCTAATTGACAGGGATTACATTGCTGGACATTGTAATTCACCTGGATTTACATCCGTGGCCATTAGTCACTTTTTTATTGTATTTTTTTTGTATTGTTATTAAAATACATTTTCAAGGTGTGTGTATTTATTTAAAGTTGCCTCTTTGGATAAGGGATACTAAAGTATCTTTGTTCTGCCTTCAGCAGGGAAATTCACTATGTCTATCCTGCCTGCAAAAACTTAATTTTGGCCACTAGATGGAAACCAGAATAAATGTACTGTTTACAGAAACAAGAATATATTTAGTTAATAAAAGTTCCCATCATCCTTCATTCTAGGAAAAGGAAACAGTTGCATCCTGGGAGCTCAGAGTCTATTTTGAGAGCTAAGGGAGAGGAAACCACCATCATCACAGAAGCACATGCTGTGGACTGAACTTACATCCCCTACAGCCAGGTGAGCATGGATTTTTTGCCATCTACAGCCTAATCATTTCATTGTGTTTGTATGTTTCATACATCGATTATATGTATTTCTCATTTGTTTTTCCCAATTATTTCACCCATCCTGTTTTGTTAATAAAGCTTCAAAATTAAATTCAGTATGGATTATTGCAGAAAAGGAGGGTTTAGCTCAGGGGTGGGCAAACTTTTTGACTTGAGGGCCGCAATGGGTTCATATATTGGACCCGGGGGCCGGACCAAGAGTAGATGAATGATGTGTATGTGTCATCCATAGTAAGTATAATAATATTCCCCCATATAAGTAAGCATAGTAATTAATCCCCCATATAGTAATTCATCATCCCCCATAGTAATTCATCCCCCATATAGTAATTCATCCCCCATATAGTAATTCATCCCCCATAGTAATTCATCCCCCATGTAGTAATTCATCCCCCATAGTAATTCATCCCCCATATAGTAATTCATCCCCCATATAGTAATTCATCCCCCATAGTAATTCATCCCCCATATAGTAATTCATCCCCCCTATAGTAATTCATCCCCCCTATAGTAATTCATTCCCCATATTAATTCATCCCCATATTAATTCATCCCTCATATAGTATTTCATCCCCCATAGTACTATTCCCCCCAAGTAGTAAGCCAAGTCCCCCCTGTGTCAATTCACTTACCTTTGCTCTGCGCGTTCCTCTCGCCGTGTTCCCACGCCGTTCCGGTCTTCAGGGCGGACTGTGAGAGGAGCCAAGCTCCCCTCACGTTCGTCACGCTGCCCCGCCTACACACATCCTGACAGCCATCCTGACAGTATCACGCTCCGCGGGTCGGATTAAAAGGTCCGCTGAGCCGTATACGGCCCGCGGGCCGTAGTTTGCCCATTGCTGGTTTAGCTGCATGTGGAGTTACACACAGGGAATTGTGTAGTGTGGACAGAACATTCTTTGTAGCTATTCCTTTGGGATGGGGCAGATATCTTATTTCAAAGTGGGCCTTCCAATTCCACAGTAAGTTCCCCCCTATTATTGCCGAGACCTCCCAATGTTGAAATGGAAGAGGTGGGGGTACACACTTCCTGCCCTCCCTTTTCTGGCTACCCAGGCTTCATTCCTGGATTACGGTCTCAATGGAATTCAGACCACTTCCTTTTTTAAAAAGCAATGCATTTTATTATTCTGTAACACCATGTGCAGCTTTCAGGCATCCCCCAAGCATGTTATTTTAAAGGTTTTATGTATTTTCAATATTGCCCTTTAAGGCTACATCAAAATTCCTTCTCCCTGCTGAACAGTATTTAAACAAAAATATTTTTTGCATTGGTAAATGTCCCTCATGGCAGTGCCCAGCTCTCCATTCCCTTCTTCACCAATAGCTTACTTTATAAGCTATAAAAATTTCCAAAAAATTAGATTTCATTCCCATAAACTTCAATGTGATTTGGCAGGGGTTTGCAGACTACCCTGGGTAGGCCAAAACCCTGCGAACTGAACCCAGGCAGATTTGCGGCTAAGTGCCAAGATTAAAAACTTGCAGCTCCTCTGAGATTTATTTTTCAAAATTCAATACATTAAACACCCCGTTCCCCTTCCAAACACCTAACGCTTCATTACCTGAACACTAAGGTATCTATTATTACATTTTTTCACACCAAGATGCACACAATTTTCATACAAAAATTAACTTGGAAATTGTGCAAATACTGGGTATTTGACTTCTTAAAGTGTATGTAAACTAGACTGTGCTAGGGTCTTCTTGTCTAAAATATTGTAACTGTATTATTTCCCTTTATTTTTTAAAACACTGGGAACACTGCTGGTGCTTTATTAATTCAGTATTATAATAATAATAATAATAATTTTATTAATCCTATGTGGTCCTTTTTTGGTCTGTTAATTATACCATAGGATGCATTTGTTATTTGTGTTTATAAGCAGGGCTTTTTTCTCAGAGAATAGGTGCAGGAACCCAACCATGCCTCACAAAGACAACTGCTAGACCGCATCAAATAATAGGTGTGGCCAAATGTCTTAAAGGGGCATTAAATATCAGGAAGGCATTACAGACAGAGTGCAAAGTTCAGGGGTGCGCTACACACAGCATTCAGGAGCAGGGGCGGACTGACAACTCATGGGGCCCCCGGGCAATAGGGGATCATGGGGCCCCTGTGTCCTTGCCCAAACTCAAAAAAGCCTATGAAAAAGGTATCAGGGACATCTCATGGGGCCCCCTACTGACCCCGGGCCTTCGGGCGGTGCCCGAGTTTCCAAATGGTCAGTCCGCCCTGTTCAGGAGTGCGCTAAACAGAGTGCAGAGTTCAGGAGTGTGCTACATACAGAGTGCAGAATTCAGGAGTGTGCTATGTGCAGAGTTCTGGGGTGTGCTACACACAGAGTACAGATTTCAGCCCTCTTCTATAGCTGCTAACCTCTGCATCTCCCATCTTCATCTCAGTTTCACCCCTCCGCAGTTCTGACCACTGCACACAACCACCCTCTACTTTTCTCATCTTCTCCGTCCCTAAAAGCTCCACCATCTTCCATGTGTCTTACTTTTATTGCTGTATTAAGCTACAGCACCCAACCAACTCTAGTACCTTCTGGAACACTGTAGGCACCTCTGCCTCTCTCATTTGCAGGTAGATCTTCCAGTGGGTAAATCAACATCCAGAGCCTAGGGAAAAATAAAGATCACAGAGGGTGCAACCTAATACGCAATGTCCCCCTCCCACCCATGAACGCACTGTACCCCAGGCACCTGCATCTCACTTGTCTCCCTCCTGCACTCAGTGAGTGCCATTCAGGAGATCACACAGAAGCTGAGTTCCACCAGGTTCTTCCTGAAAAAAAGCCCTGTTTATAAGTAATAATACCTGTTGATTCAGAGCATGGACTACAGAACACCTCCTGCCTATTTTATAGAGGGCAAGGTGTCTCTGCATACTAAAATGCATTCTTTCCCAGTGTGACAATGCTGCTACACTGTAGATACAATTTTTGAAGTGTTGTCACCTTAGGACAGGAAGTTACAGGTCAGATCACCAGGTGTAAATAAGCAGCATAACTGTTGTGCTGTCCACTATCTCCTGAGGAAGTGGTATACATAGAATATGAAACGTGTTGAGAATACGAAACATGTTGTACTAAATATGTAATATACATCCTCTGGGGTTATGTGATGATTATACTGGTGTTATGTGACCATTGTCCATCTATGAAAACAGATTAGGGGTTGTATTGTATAAATGTGCTACCAATACACTTAGCACAATACAATACCAGCCAATATACATTTTAACTAGTAAAAACTGCCTATAGAATAACAAATCAAACAATGTTTTTACGACAAAAAATTGAGTGTACAGTTCTTATTGAGGGATGTTGGTTTCGTTTTCCCTTTTTTGGGATTCACCTTTTGCATAAGGCTGTATAGAATTTCCATACCTACTAAAGAAGGAGCCTTGGTATATGTGAGCAGCCTCAGTAAAGTTAGTGAGCTTGTGAAATAATTATGTTTTTTGCCTGTTTTATTAAAGGAATACGTTTTGAAGTCGCAGTGCCTCCTGGATATGTCTTTTTGGAGCAATTTGTAACTGCGGTCTGTGTTTCTGTTAGAGATTTTTCATCACTTCCTGTCTGGTGAAACATTTCTCATTGTCACAGTAAGTAAGAGGAAATTCCTCATAAGGAACCCTGAAAATAGTAAAAAAGGATTCTAATTCTTTTCCACAATATCTTAAACTAAGAATACGGAAGAAAAATGTTGGAATTACACTTTAAGACTTCAATCCTAACATCCAACCTAAGCTGAAATGTATCCCCTTAGACTAAAATTGTACCCTATCACTTACCCTTCTGAACCCTAAAACGAAAAACTAATCCTTAAACCTTCACCCTAACAATATCCTCACCACTACCCTACTTCCTAGAATGGCCTTAACCCATGTGGTAAAAAAAAACTAATCACAATTAGCTCTACAGTCCTGCAAATGTTCCATCCCTAAAAAATAATAGGCAAATGTACATTGGTTTATACCTGTGTGATGTAAATACTACTGTGTTTAGTAAGTAAAAGTGCAGATCATTTGAAATACAAATCTGCCTGTTAGTTATTTTACAGAATATTATTAATTAAGCTTGTTAGCACAATCCATAAACTGCATCTGTAGCAAAGGACTCTGGAAGTTTATACCCCATCACGTGGAACTCTATAAAGTCACTCATCTTGGTATACAGGTGATGGAAGCTGTGATAAAAAGAAATTAGCGGTAGAAGACGTTGCTAAATAGTTAGAAAATCCACCGCAATTATGGTTTTATGAATTAAGAACTATTTGACTTGCCGCTAATGGTCCTGATACTGGTATTGAACCATAACTAATGTTGCAAAATTACAAGAGGAATATTATCTAAAATACCATCTAAAATATCATTGTGTCCTAATTTCAAGGTCATTTGACAATTATATGGGTCTCCTCTTAACTACTCACATAATTTGGGTAGAAATGAAGAATAGTTCAACATTAAGCATGTAATATTACATATGATGGCATAAAATAAGGGCCCATAAATAGTCGGCTGAAGTGCCTGGTTACATTTCCATATTTTTGTAGTGAAGTCTCAAGAAAATCACCCGGTTAAGCTGGAGAAAAAAAGAACTTCAATGTCCAGGAGCATTGATGTATAGTAGTAAAGAAATATGTAAACTCAGACCAAGAGACTAGACTCATCATGAGCAGCTGCTGAACCACAAGTCCTCATTTTGCTGCCGCTGAAATGTGGCACTCTAATATACCTGCTGAACAACTAAAAGTCAAATAATCCACAACTGCTGCACAAGGCACTCAACTTCAAGACCCATCACCCACAACTGCTGAGCTATATGACTCTAAGCTGCAAGACTCATCATCTACAGCTAGTGAACTCTAAGACTCTACACTACAAGACCCATCATACACAGCTGCTGAACTATATGGCATTAAACTGCAAGGGCCTGCATCAACGGGCTTTTGTTGTTTTGCTTGAAGCAGGCCAAATGTAGGTCAGAGGGGGGGTCAGCCTGGGATTAATTATTCAGAGCTGTAGAGCTATAAAATGCTGAACTACTAGACATATTATCACAGAAGATCAAATACAGGTCAAAAGTAGGTCAAATGTAGGTTAAATAGAACTATCAGTGAATTCTGAATGGTCTCAGAAGCATGTTAAACTGATGCCATCAACACATGTCCAAAGCACATTAACAAAGGTCCTAAGACTCATCGTCCACAGCTGCTAAACTATAAGGCATTAAAATGTAAAACCCATTATTCACAGCTGCTGAACTAGAGGACCCATCATCCACAGCTTTTTTTTTTTTAATTAATTTTATTAATTGTAATTTAACAATCATCCACAGCTTTTAAATGATAAAACTCTAAATTGCAAGACCCATCATCCACAGTTGCAGAACTTTAAGTCAATCAACTGCAAATTCATAATTTACAGCTCTTGAACAATGCAATTTTAAATTGTAAGACCCATCATCCACAGCTTTTGAATGGAAGATGCCTCAACATTAGCTTTTGAATTAGACTCTGAAATACAAGACCCATAATCAACAGCTGGTAGGTGTCCATATCATTGTCTGGATGACCGAGATGCTTCCTACTGGCTATCAAAAAAACCTCTCAGGCTCCAGAAGACCACACGGCATTGTTTTTTTTGGTTTTTTTTTGCAATTGTAGAGTTTTGCATTGAGCAGGCTAGGGTTAAAGCCCCTGTTGTAAAAACAAATGGCAACTGCTCCAATCTATACCTGGCCTTTGCAGCAAGGAGCACATAACAGGGCAATGAATGTCAAACAACAACAAAGAAAAATTCCCAACTCATCTTCTCAAGTAGCCTGTAACTATTCATGTTAAAAACAGGGGTTGGGTTTGCACACATTTGCAAATGCATGTGTAAGCTGCAGAGCCTCTTTCACAACACCCCGGTATTTTGCAGTCATAACTCTATGAATTTGTGAGAGCCTCCATAGTCAAAGCACATGTATAATAATTAATAGACTGAGGGCAGGTAAGCCTGGAGGGAGCCCACCCTCCTTAAAGGTACACGGGACTACTGGACACCCAGTATATAGCACAACGACAGCCAAGGTGTCCAGTGCGTCCCCTCGCCAATATACCAACAGTATGGCCCCAAATCTCTCCATTTGGGCCAAAGACAGCTGCAAATAGCCCAACAAGGGACCTGTTGGGCTATCTTCTGTTGTCTATGGCCAAAATGGGGAGACTTCTCATTTACTTCCTATCCAAAAATGCAAAAGAGAATGACAGGAAATCCCCCTGAAATTAGGGGAATTTCTTTTTGGACAGTTGTCATAGGATGACATTGTCCCCATTGGAAAATTTACCCTCACCTCTTGTTCTGGTGGCTGCTCTAAAGTGTTGGATTTCCCATTATTTTCTCTCCTGGTAGCAATATTCACCAGGACAAACAGAAAGGGTGTAACCTTTCCCTACAGCACCCAATACTAAAAATATGTTTTTTTTCTATGTACAACTGTAGCTACCCTAAAACCACCTTAAAAAATTCAGCACCCTCTAAACCCATCTACACTTGCAATACTACTGAAAAGGTATCCACGGTGGATCACTTTTTAAAGGGCAGCTGAAAGGCGGCTCCTAGATGCCTGTTTTAACCCTTTGAGGACCAAGGGACGTATTTGTCCCATGTTTTTAATTGCGTGTATCATCTGATTAAGAACTTAAAAATACTTTTTTTTTTTTTTTTTTTTTGGTTTGAGTCAAAATATTAGTTCTTATCAACTGAAGTGTACGAACTTTAAAAACAAAAAATTGATTCTTTTGGCGTTCCAAAATCTTACGGTCCTCAAAGGGTTAACCACTGAAAGTCCACAGAACTGCTCTAGAACCACATGCATTACTTGTGGTTGCAGTGCAGTTCTGCCACAATCCCATTCACTTGAATGAGTCGCGTTTGGTGGTGGTAACGTCTGCCATGCTATGCCATGCCATATCGCAGCATGTGTATCATCCCATTCAGCTCCTGCATTAGATCAACCGCCTATTTTTACTGCCCTCCATCTGCCAGGGTAAAGGAGGACCTAATAAGAAAAAGGAAAAAAGTAGAGTATTGTATTCCTCAAGCACCAAATGCCCAACAAGCTCAGTTTTGACAAAATTTAGCTGATGATGAAATCGGTACTTTTGTTCCAAAGTCTTGTTTAAATCACTCCACTATGCTCTAACAGGACTTAAAAACTAAGAGTTTTAAATATATTTTTATATTCTTAG